CAAAGACTTAAAAATTCCAGGAAGAAAACTCTTTGCCCCAGCTAGATTGTTTTCTACTTCTGGATCACTTAACTGAGCCCCACAAATAAGACCATTTGTATTAATCTGGCAATTCCTGTTAACTGTTATATATAGGGAGGGCACTTAAGAAAAGGGATAATATTCAGTCTTAGGTATTTAATATTACCCTTTTGCCAGAAGAAATAGTGTGATTTGTATTCCATTTTACAAATAAATATGATATTGATCACCTGTTGAACAGTAATTAGAACTCAGAGCTCCTCAAATGATGACAGGTTAAAAATATATAGAGGTGATTTTCAGCCTTTAAAATATTTTGAGATAGTATACTCTATTATTTAACTGTAAAAATGCAGTTTTAATAAAAGTGAATTAAAATTTTAAGTTTTTGGAAATATTTTATATTGAATAATTTCACTAAAACCAAAAATAAGTATAACCCATGGGCAAAGACAATGGGATGGGGGAGGATTGAATGTGGGAGATGGGGGTGGGGAGAGTAATGGGGGGAAAATGGGGACTACTGTAATTGAACAGTAAAAAATAAAAAAATATAAATGTGACAAAACTAGAATGAATGAAACATTAAAATCAACAATTTAAATGTAAATTAAGTGTATGGTATATTTAATATCACACATACAATTAGGGTAGTTGTATATGTAGAATACTGTAGTCTTTGGAGAAGCTCATTACATTTAGAAGCCTCTCAGACCACTTAAGATGCAGTGTTAACTTTTCGTGTTCAGAGTGCATGATCCTAAGATACTTAGAAAACATGGATGAAACACACACATCAAAATAAAGCACCAACATTCCCTGGCCAGTGTTACTCAGTTGGTTTGAGTGTCATCCTGTAACTGAAAGGTTGTGGGTTTGATTCCCCGTCAGGGCACATACCTAGGTTGCAGTTCCCTGGTTGGGGCACATATAGGAGGCAACAAATTGATGTTTCTCTCTCCCATCAGTGTTACTGTCTCTCCCTTTCTAGCCCCCTCCCTCTCTCTAAAAACAATGAAAAAAATGTTCTTGGGTGAGGATTTAAAAAAAAAAGTAAATAAAAATAAAGTACCAGTATATCTATGACATCTATTGTAATTTCTACAATATGTACATTGTATGTGTATAAAACTTTGTTTCAATTCCTGATTTATAACACTCTATTAAAAAGCACATTTTACATACAAACTGCTAATATAATTGGTTACTTGAGCCTTTGGACTTAGTAGAGAGGAAAAGATTTTGAAAAAAGAATAGCCTAGGGGAAATAATACTAAGGACAGGTTTTTTTTAAGAGAGATGAATTGTCTAACATATTTTTAGTTCTGGAGGAACCTAAATGATTTACACTTACATACAGGGTGGGGCAAAAGTAGGCTTATGGTTGTTTGTATTATAGTAACAATAATTAATAAATAATAATATAAGATTAAACTATTTCATGTACTCACAACTGTAAACCTACTTTTGCTGAACCCTGTATTTGAGACAAGCCAATCTGTGATTTATTTGACCTATTAAGCATATTATGTTAAAAATACAAAGCAGGGATTTGTGGGTGAATTAGCCATTCAAACCTTGATATGAATTTTAGATGACTTTAGATTTTTTTTAGAAGGCTCAACTGAGATTGGCTGCTTTGAGGAGATAAATTCTTTTTGTTTTTATCATCTTTTATCAACCCCTTTTGCCCCCCAATACTAAAAGAGTATATGAGATCTGTCCAGATGGGGTATCCAGCCATGTGATATGAAAAATAGAGGCATTTATAAAGAAGATACAAGAAACACTGTACATGGTGCCTCAGTTCCCTTTAAGGTAGGCACTTTGGGACCACACACAATTCTCCCAGTTGCCATCAGCTATCTTGTTTTATTCTCCTGAATCTGATCAGTGGCTGAAATCTCTTCCCTTTCAAAGGTGATTCTAGTTTTGGGAAAAGCCGGAAGTCTCAGGGCTCCAAATCTGGGTGGTAGCAGGGCTGAGTCACCTGGATGATTTGATGTTTCACCAAAAAACTGCATGAGACATGATGCATGAGCAGGGACATTGTTGTGGTGAAGCTGCCAATGGGCACCAGGTGCCCATAGCTATGGCCTTCTGAGTCATCTGAATGGTTTTTGTTGAGCACTGTTCAAACTTAATGCAAAATTTGATGTAGATCCATTGCTCTGTTCACTCAGTCATTTTGACTGTGACAACCACACAGTACACATGCTCACTCAATGGAGTTTACCTCCCCTACTGACTAGTAGTAGTACAGTGCAGTTGTCATTGTTCACGCATGTGTATTCCAGTCCACTCTCCTTGGCTGCCAGGTTGCATTGATGTTGTGCAAACTATTCTTGTTATATTAACAATGGCTGGACTTTTTCTGGGCAGACCTTGTATGATCATTGTAACAGTTTAAAGCATTCTTTTTTTAGAAATTATTCAATCCTCACTGAGGATATCTTTGATTTTAGAGAAAGAGATGAAGGGTTGGGGAGGGAGAGTGCAAGATAAACATGATAAACACTGATGTGAGAGAGAAACATCAATCAGTTGCCCCTCTTAAAATCCCCAACTAGGGATGGAACCTAACCCTCTGGTGTACAGAGCAACACTCCAATCAAGTGAGCTACCCGGCCAGGTTGTTTAAATTCAAGTCCCTTCCCAGATTCTCTCCCTAGAAATAATTACTAATTAATAATTTGTTGTACCTTTTTTTCAGAACATATGTTTTTCTAGGATAGAAGTTTTGATTTGGTGGAATACCAGAAGAACATTTTAGAATGTGCTGTAGTTTTCTAATGTCAGGATTGGCTTGGGTGGACTCTTTAGTGGCTTGTGTATGGTTTCTGAGGGCTCTGGAGACTTTGGATTTGTGAGGAGTTATTAATAGCTAGGTGACTTTCACATAAAGACAGGCAAGAGTGTTTTTAAAAAATTGCCAAGGACTAACCACATGTTCAAAAGGTAAAGGTAAAATTACTTTCTTTTTTTTTCTTTTGCAATATATGTGTTCTTCCTCCTAGAAGCTAGAGTTAAAATTAGTATTGTTTATGTCATATTTAAGCTATTTTATGACTTTTGGTTAATCTCTATGGTAGTCATGATTTTTTCAAGGGTCAGAATCTCAACTCCGATTGGTTTAAGCAAAGAAATTTATTGGCTTGTGTGACTATTAAGTCCAGGGATCTGGGTATTAAAGTGTTGAGAGCCCTATCTGGTGTGGCTCAGTGGATTGAGTGCTGGCCTGCAAACCAAAGGGTCACCAGTTTGATTCCCAGTTAGGACATGTGCCTGGCTTGTGGGCCAGGCCCCCAGTAGGGGGCACACGAGAGGCAACCACATATTGATGTTTCTCTCTCTCTTCTCCCTCCTGTCCCCCTCTCTAAAAATAAATATATGAAATATTTTTTTAAAATTTAAGAGGAAGAAAGTTTTTTTCTTGGTTTGCTTTCCTTTCTGTTGATTAAATTTTGAAGTGGCCTTTTCCCACGTGGTGGCTAGGATTATGCCTATTAATTTAACTTCAGCAGAAAGAGAATATGTCTTCCCAAGAATTACAACACAAATATTGGGATTGATTTTTATTGGTCCTGGTCTCTGATTCATTCGTTTTCATGCCAGTGAGGACTCCAAATTCTCACAGTTTGGTCCAGAAAGCGCACTGTTTTGATTGGTTGGAATAGAACCTCTCTGGTCACTGAAGATGTATATCTGTTGCTGAATGGGGAAAGTCTCAATGCTTTGGTTGAAATAGGATTCTGGGAACTCCTTTATAAGGGTTGGCTCAGCCAGCAGGAACCCAGTGCAGTCTTCTTCCTGAAGTTCAGCTTTCATGAGAAGCCCCTGTTTAGCAATGGCTGCTAGGATCCGTTTCTAAATTTGAGCTCAGAAAGCCACCAGGAGTCCTTCTGAACAGGTACATTCATTCTCAGGGTCACTAGTAGTTTTGTTTTTTTTTAAATTGTCCTCATATATGTTGACTCCTATTTACATGTGTATCTTGATTGTAGAAGTTTATTCAGAATCCCAGTTTTTGCTACAGTTTTCTATTGTATATTTTTGTTTAGCTGTTCTATAGGAGCACTGACCTTCAAGTAAGAGTCCTCATACAAGAAATTTGGAAACAGGATTCTAGAGCTTAGTGGCTGTAAGCATTCTTGTGAATTTCTTGGTCTTCCCATTCATGATTGGAAGATGTTGCATTAGCTTCAGTTATCCTGTCCTCACACATCTGGATCCAAAGCAGTAAAAAAGTATGAAGATGGGGCTTCTTCTTGTGTACTTTTTCCCCTTTTTATTTATAAAAATTATCATGAAAAGTTTTAAAAAGAATTAATTAGGAAGTAGAATCCATAGGACTTTAACACCTTATGGTGGGAGAAACTTGACAAAGTATAGGATGATTGGCAAATTTTTGTGAATATCCTTCCTTCCCTCCCTCCCTCTCTTCCTTCTTCCCTCCTTTTCTTCCTTCCCCTTTTCCTTTTCCTTTTCCTCTGCCTGCAGTGCAAGTATGTTCCTCTGCTAAGCAGGAAAAAAACCAATTACCTCCTTTTAAATTTGATAGCATGATCAACCATATTGTTATGATTATACTTATATAATAAAAACAAAAAATAACATTTCTTTCTACTGTAAACTGTAAACCTGCTTTTGTCCCACCTTGTATTTAAGACAAGCCAGTCTGAGATTTATTTCACCTAGTAAGCATACTATATTAAAAATGCAAAAGCAGGCATTTGTAGATATAATTTAGCTATTCAAACCTTGATTTGAATTTTTGATGACTTTAGACTGTTTTCTTTGGTGTCAGTGTTTTTTAAAAATGTAAGTAATGAACATATATTATGTTAATGGTAGTAGATGATCATATTGCTCTTGTTTTATATAATTAAATTCTTAATTTAATGAAATTGTAAAGTTTTAGAATATTCAATTTCAACAACAGTATTTCTTACAAATTTTAAAAAAAATTTTTTCTATAGAAATTTGGTTAAGAAGTACTGTCCCAAACGTTCCTCCAAGGATGAAGAGCCAAGGTAAATTACATACCCGTTTATTATTGCATATTAAATTTTTTAAAAATTTTTGTTTAGTAAATAATTCTGTTGTTAGTTTTTCATAAAGATTTTTTTAAAAGATTTTATTATTTATTTTTAGAGAGGGAAGGGAGGGAGAAAGAGAGAGAGAGAAACATCAATGTGCGGTTGCTGGGGGTCATGGCCTGAGACCCAGGCATGTACCCTGACTGGGAATTGAACCTGCAACACTAATAAAGATTTTTTAAAAGTTTGTCTTAATACCTGGCTGGTGTAGCTCAGTGGATTGAGCGTGGGCTGTGAACCAAAGGGTCACCGGTTCGATTCCCAGTCAGGGCACATGCCTGGGTTGCAGGACAGGTCCCCAGTGGGGGCCACCTGAGAGGCAACCACACATTGATGTTTCTCCCCCCTCTTTCTCCTTTCCCCTTTTCTAAAAACAAACAAACAAATAAAAATAAAACCTTAAAAAAATCTAAAAAGTTTGTCTTAATAAAAAAGTCAGTGTTTATGAAAGAGGGAGCTATTATTTTTATTCTTGTATGAATGAATACTTTAATACTGAAACTTGATAATAGTTTTCTAGAATAGTTGATCTATGGATTTCCAAGTAAGGTGTGGACTAAGACCCCACCTGAGTTATTTAGTATCCAGAAGAAAAGAATATTTTTTTTCATACTTTATTTTGTAGTTGTCAGCTTGTTGGCTTCCTGCTTTTACTCTTCCAGATAGTAAAATAATTTGGCTGCCTGGTTTAAAGGGATAGTGAAAAGGAGCGTAATTTTAGAACCTTGAAGTAAAAGGTTAGGAATTGCCTATGAGCTTGTAACAGTCTTAAATAGGGATATGTGGCTGTAAAATGCAGAAACAGAGAGACTGGACTTAAACCACACAATTTTGTGTATAATGTCAGTTGTTAGGATACTCACGTTTGGTGTTAATGCAGTCCTGTCTGAGCTGTTTGCCTTCAGTTGTTTAAGTATGCTCAGGCAGTATATTCAGAGTAGATCTGTACGTTTTAATACAATGATTCTCTTTGTTTCTCTCCTTCTCTGCACACACATCTGCCCTTATTTTTGCCCCTTCTTCCCCCTCTCTGATGCCAACCATAATGGTCCTTCACTTCCATTCAGGATGTGGGCAGCTATGTCCAGAGCTGATAGCAAAGTTTTTTGTAGGTCAGCCATCAAGATGCATTTGTGGGGTATAATTGGCAAGTTTTGTCCTGGAAAACAAGCACATCATCTCTGCAACAGGTTCAGCTTCCAAGTCTAGGAATCCAACCAAGTTCATTCCCAAGCTCAGGGCAGCCAATTGGAAACTTAAGAGATTTCAGTATGCCTTAAGAGCCTGCGGGTAGTATTCTTATTATTTTTTGGCCCCAAATATCCCTGTACTTATAAATTAAGACTACATGAAGATACACAAATATCTACAACTTGAACTTAATGCAGGATTGTTTCCTTATAAAGTTAATTTAGAGCTAGTAGCTAAGATTTAGGTTGAGTATGTTAAAATTTGTCAAGTGTCTGGCTCAATCTATACTTCACAAAACACATTTGTAATGAAAATTAAAATAAATTTCACTGTTTTTAAATATGTTTTTGTCAGGTTTACCTCGTGTGTAGCCTTTTTTAACATCCTTAATGAGTTAAACGACTATGCAGGACAGCGAGAAGTAGTAGCAGAAGAAATGGCGCACAGAGTTTATGGTGAATTAATGAGATATGCTCATGATCTGAAAACAGAAAGAAAAATGGTAATTATCATTTTTATTTAGTTATAATGATACATGAAACATTTTCACACAAAGTAATTATGTTTTAAAAATAATGTGTATTCAATATAAATGGATTTTCTATTTTGCTGTATTTCTTGTAGCTAAAATTACTGCTAGATACTCTTGTTAATTAGTGATCCTTTTGGTAAACTATACAGGCTAAATCTAGTCTCCTGCCTGTTTTTGTTTTGTAGTTCTCATGTGCTAAGACTGGTTTATACATTTTTAGATAATTGAAGTGGAAATCCAAAGAAGATATTTTATGATGTGAAAATTATGTGAAATTCAAATTTCAGTTTTTTGAGAACAGAGCTGCACTCATTCATTTATGTTTTGATTTTAGCTGCTTTTGCTTGCATTACATTACAGAGTTGAATATTTGAATATTTGCAACAGAGATCACGTGGCTTGCAAGGCCTAAAATATTTATGTGATCTTTTTTAGAAAATGATTGTCAACCCCTATTCAAGATAGTCATGTATTTTATAAAAGATGGTATGTGTCTTAAAGATTATTTTTAAAGTATTCAAATAATATTCTATAAAATATATTTTAGAGAGTTTTGCTTTACTAAAATCTCTTAATTAAATTTGATAAAGTTATATAATTAGTATCTTGAAAGAAATAAAGTGAAAAACTTTCTGAGACTTTAGGCTTTATTTAAATGTGATCTTTGTTTTGTTTCTTCTGTGTTTTTCGTTGTTATGATCTTCAGCATCTTCAAGAGGGACGAAAAGCTCAGCAGTATCTCGACATGTGCTGGAAACAGATGGATAATGTGAGTTACAGTTTTCACGGTTAACATAAAATTTTGTAGACTTGTTTAGTCCTACATTTTCTTACACTTTATCTATTTGAGCTTAATATTTCTTAGTGTATTATTTATAATTTGACATGTATAACTAGAGAATGAGATCATTTGGATTCTGTACTTGTACCAACTCTGTAATATTCAGATATCTGTAAGCAATTTAGGAAGATTCTTTTTGACTTTGTATTAGTTATTGTACTGTAAAATATTGGTAGAGGGTAGAAGTAATAGGGAACAGTGATATATGTCTTAGAAGACCAGTTGAGTGATACTGAAAGGACTTAGATTTCTAGTTCTGTCTTTTACTTTGCACCTGATTTTTGTTGACTTTATTTTTTTAAAACTATTTTTTTAATAGTTTTTATTTATTTATTTTTAGAGAGAGAAGGGAGGGAGGGGGAGAGAGAGAGGGAGGGAGGGAGGGAGGGAGAGAGAGAGAGAGATATCAATGTGTGGTTGCTGGGGGTTATGGCCTGCAACCCAGGAATGTACCCTGGCTGGGAATTGAACCTGTGACACTTCGGTTGGCAGCCTGCGCTCAATCCACTGAGCTACGCCAGCCAGGGCGACTTTATTTTTTATATATGAAAAATGAAGAGAGGACTAGATTATATGAAATGTTTCTTCTAGCTCAGTGATTCTGTAATAATGTAAATGTTCCTAGTACCAGGCTGCCGGTCATAGAGCGTCTCTTTGTAGGAAATAAAATATTCCATAGGTTGGACAAAATTATAATAGTATAATGATATTTTCTTTAAAAATTTTGCAAGGATACTTGCTAATATGGTTTTTAAAAAAAATGTTCTGGCATACAGTTATTTGATGAACAAGATTCTACATGGAACATTGTCTCCTTTACTTAAAATGCTCTATTAAATACTGTTCTGTAGTATAAGATTAATATTCTTTTTGAACCCTCAGATTAGCAAGCAGTTTACTCTTTACTTGCATATTTTTATGGTGGGCACTGTATTCCTTGAAAATTAAGCTGGAGGGAATTTTTTCATGTTAAATTAATCAATTTAGTTTGTGGTTGTTCTAAAAAGGACTTTTAAATAACTCATGGATATATGTACTGTTTTGAGCCATTTTTCCTTTTTAAAAAATTCTATAAAATTTCTAAATTTCTAAAAATCTCTACTATGTAACTGTCATTGATGTAAGATTCTAATCAACAGTGCTGATTGAGAATTCTTAGGTATATTAATAGTCTGTCTTTATTTTTGTTTTGCTCTTCTTTTTAATTGGTTTCAGCAAGACTTTTAGGGAGTGTGTACATTTATTAAATTTTAAATTGCCTTAACTAGCATCCTTAGTATCTACCACCCAGTGAGTATGTGTGAGTGTTTGTGTTTTCATTTGCACCAAAAAAAAAATAGATTCCTACACTCATGAGTCATTGGTCCTTTTAAAAACTGGTGTTGGCTCAAATCATTCCTGTTAGTATGTGCTGACTTGCCTTTAGAACAGTTGATATTTATTAAGCCATAAGAAAGAAACATCAAAAAAAGTAGGAGAGATTTTTTTAAGGCATTAACAATATCATGAAATAAGGTAAGTTTAACTCAATTCATTATTGAAGGCACCCTTGACATGTACTGGGTCCGGGAGTACAAAAGTATATGTGACATGGTTCTTGTTTTCATGGAGCCTGCATCTAGTGAGGGAGGCAGACAAGTATAGTTTCTGTGCATTATGTAGAAATATGTGCAGGATCCCATTTCCTAGTAACACGTCTTCCTGCTTGATCAAGAAAATGAAACTGTAAAATTCTTAACATGTTAAAGTAATGGAGGAGATTTAAAGAACTGGAAGAGACAAGTTGAATTAGTGACAGAGTATTGAAAATTGAAAAAATATTAAAACACAGTTATTAACCCCAGGAAAAACAAAACAGGCAGCACAGGCATTTACGATTCACCACATACATGAGAGACTGGTGTGTGAAGATCTTGAAGGAATGATCTGATTAGGAGGATAGAAGCATCAGAGAAGCCAGGTCTATCAGTTTGGGCAGCTCCAAGTAAATAGGTCATATAAGTTATAAGAAGAGGGCTAAAAAATGGAGCAGTTTCAGAGGTGGTCAGTAATTCAGTGATGTCACAGAGGCTGCTGCTTTTTTCTTTATGTTCACTTTGCCGTCTTGACCATGTTGGGTTTTTTCCTGAGGATTGTCCCTTATGGTCAGTTGACTTAAGCAGCCAAACACCACATCCTCGTTCAGCTGCATGTAGAAGCATGAAAAAGGGAGCATATCTTTTGCAACTGTCCCTTTTTATCAAGGAAGGAAAACTTTTCCAGAAAACAAGTCCCCAGCAGACTTCTTTATGGGTGTCTCTGCTAGGATTAGATAACTTGACTATACTCTAGCTGTGGGAGGCTGGTGAAGCAAGTATTGGCTATTTTTAGCCTTTATACAGGAAGGTGGGCTCCTTTAAGAAAGGATGGGGGAAAAGTAGCTGTTAATTTGTCTGCCAAATAAAGGATGAAGAATAGGACCTTGTCCTGGCTGGTGTGGCTCAGTGGATTGGGAACCGGCCTGCAAACCAAAAGGTTGCTGGTTCAATTCCCAGTCAGGACACATGTCTCGGTTACAGGCCAGGTCCCCATTTAGCAGCGTGTAAGAGGTGACTGATTGATGTTTCTCTCTCCCTGTCTTTCTCCCTCTTTTCCCCTCTCCCTAAAAATAAATAAATGAAATCTTTAAACAAAAAGGAAAAAAGAATGGAGGATCTTTTCCGGAGTATATTCCTATGTCATGTAAAGATATAGTATGTCTCAGGGAAGGAGTATGTTAAATATTGTACTAGTGATTCTTTTGTTGTTGCAAGGAAATTATTAGGTAGGTTTTTTCTACCAATAATAAGAACTAGTATAAAAATACTATTGTATATAAGTAGCCTCAAATTGAACCAAAATTAATAGCCTATAGCTACTCAATTTGAAAACAGCTTTGACCTGAGTTTCAGAGAATTAAATGTGGAAATGTAATTCTAATCTTAGAAAAGTGACATTCTGTATATTATTCACATTCAGATTTATGTACTTTGAATAAATTATGCCTCATTTGATGGCTCATACTAGTTAAAATAGTAAGTACATTTAAAGAATTGATAAAACATTTCTGAGCATATGTATTTGATGAAATTATAGTTATGTTTGATTCTAGGTATATAGTGAACTGAGCTAACTTAAAAGCCACTGGCTACAAATACCCAGATGTAATAGCTAAAATATTGTTACTGATTTTTAAGCTCTTAGCAGAGCTTATCTTAAACCTCTAACTGCTAGAAACTAAGGGTAAACTAAAATGCAGCCAGAGCAATAGGTGTATGAATGATACAGTGACATTTGAAAAATGGGGGCAGAGGTTTTGGGGTGTGGTAGGCTATAGGACCTTGCTAAGGATTTGTATATTAATTCTCATACAGAAACAGATTAGATTTTAGCTCTGTATGTTGGGGAGAGTTGGAATTGAAACTCCTGCATAACATTTGAAACTTTGAAGGACTAAACCTTTAATGAAAGGTGGAACTCTGCCTGCTAGCTAAGGGAAAAATTAGAGGAACTTGCTTTCTGAAAGTCAAAGGAAGGCAGACAAATATCGTATAAGAAATTTAAACCTTCTTCCTTGTAGTTAGATTTGGAATTCAAATTTGCACTGTCTGTATAGTTTCATAGCCCTCAAGACAAGAAATTGACTTCAAAACTGGTTCTAATAAAGGGGTTAGGTAAATGGAAAATATTGACATTCTCTGCTTTCTTCTGAGCAATTCTCAGAATATAGGTAGCAAGACGTATCTTTTCCAGGCAAGAAATTGGAAGAATCTTGTCTGGGGAATCTAACCAGCTTGAGAGGATATGGCCCAGTAGATATGGATACCAGGGTTTCTCCAAGAAAACTGCCTAGCCATGTCACCCTAGGCAGTGGTGTCCAACCTTTTGGCATCTCAGGACCACACTGAATGAAGAAGAATTGTCTGTACACAAACACTAACGAAAACTGATGAGCAAAAAAAGGTTTTAAGTAAATTTGTGAGTTTGGTTGGGCTGAGGGTCAGACATGCCTGCTAGAGGAAAAGACCCCATCTGTAGAGCTTTCATTTGGCTTTTTAAATGAGAGCAGATAGGCAAGGATCCCTAGACATTTAAAGAAAACATCTAATGTAAACACCAAAGATAATCTGCAGATAAAAAAGCAACTTCGAAACAGTGACTATGAAAGGAAATAGGAATCAAAAACCAAAAATAAAATGCCCAAAACTATTACTAATATTTTCAAAAATATTAGAGAAGATATTGTGTCCATGAACTAAGGAACAAAATACTATTTAAAAGGAATGTACAAAGAACATAAGAGAACTTTTATGGCAGAAATGAAAAACTCACTTGAAACAACAGAATTGAAGAAATCTTTCAGAAAAGAGGGCAAAATGACAGATTGAAAATATAAGAATATAGGAGGACTCATGCTATAGGTTCATTTTCAAAATAATAAGCATCCTAAGAAAAAAAAGAAAACAGAAAATGGAAAGACAAAAATAATTCAAGAAAATTTCACTAGAACAGAAACACATGAGTTTCTAGATGAAAAGAATTTTCAGGGTGCTCAGCACAGTAGATTCACAGTCAAACAATATCTTCATGAAATTTCAGAACAGTTATGAGAGGGAAAAGATCTTACTCATTTCCAGAGAGGAAAAATAAAACAGATAATAATCATGTTTTATGCAAAGGATCAGGAAGCTAGAAAAGAGTAGAGTAGTACTTTTTTACGTTTCTGAAGGAAGATAATTTTCTACTCAAGAATTTCATTCCCAGCCAGATTTTATCAATTAAAAGTGATATTAAAGGCATTTTTCAGCCATCGAGGCTTAAAAAAATTATCTTCCACAAACCTTCTAGGAAGCTACTGCCGAATGTGTTTCAGTGAAATAAGGAAATGAACCAAAAACAGGGAGGGAGGCTTGGAACTTGGAAATATGGGAAGTTCTAATCAAGGGAGAAGTGAAAGGAATCCCCAGGATAACTGGTGAAGGGAAATCTCAAGATGACCTCTATACAATAGACCTAGTTTGGTAACCAGTCCAGATTTCAGCAGGTCAAAAGCCTTTAGGAAAGATTTCATCAGGAAAATAAAATTGGTAGAATTCTCATTGTGTTTGAATTAATGGAGATTTAAAGAACTGGGGAAACTAAGGTTGAATAAGAGAAACGTGAATCGAAACCGAGCACATTTTTTTTTAAGCCATTAAGTATAGGATTGAAAAGTGTGCAGGAAAGGAAATATGGAATTTATCACATGGCTCAGTTGTGATTAGCTTTTACAAAGTCATAGGAATTTGAATTGAATACAAAATTTTAACAGAGCCTGATTCTGGGCTGATAGTATTTCCTGGGATACCTGTAAGAAAGAACATAAAACCACTTGGGAGGGATATTTCCACATCTAAGCTACACTGAGATACCAACCAAACAAATCAAAAACAAGCAAGCTCTAAAACCAACCAGCTAAACCAAACAAACATACAAAAGAGGCAAAAAACACCAAACCAAAAAAATTTGCTAAAGATGAGCCTATAATTAAAAATATTTAAGTGCATGATTTTTTTCTTATTGAGAAAAGATGAGATGTATATTAACTAGTCATGCCTGTGATTTTTTCCTTCACAATCTATAATGTTTGATATTTAAGCTCCTAGATTGATTATAATAGTAAAATTTCTTTTGTAATTTAGAAAAATTTTACTTCTAGTGTGCAATTCTACACAATATACAGTGACATTTTAAATTTTTTTATGAGAAAAATCTAATTTTATTTCTTAGTGTGATATTTTGATTATCTTAACAGAGTAAAAGGAAATTTGAAAGAGAATGTAGAGAGGCAGAAAAGGCGCAACAGAGTTATGAAAGATTGGATAATGATACTAATGCAACCAAGGCAGATGTTGAAAAGGTAAGAAATAATCCAAACTGATTTTATTATCCAAATATTATGACTTGCATGTGGAAAATAGTTGCAGTATTGATATTGATGTTAGAGTTTCCCCAAGAGATACATTATATCTCAATTTAAACTATACAGATACTTACATACTTTAAATTATACATACTGGTCTGAGAAAGTAATTAATACGTGTTAATTTATTTTAGTCTAATGTCTTAACTGCTTTCAAGATGCGTAGGGAAATCTGACTCCCGTTGGGAATGGGCTTCTATCCTATTCCAAAGTAGGCTAGAAAATCTAAGGTGTGTTGATGGGATATGCAGATGGGGATTGGGCAGTGTGCTTCCCCAACTTCACTGCAGGAAAACGCGGTAAAACTGTCAGATGTGATATTAGCAGTTTGCTTGTTTATTCATTAATTGATTTTGGAAAACAGAACCCTCTGTTGTCACTTACTAATTGATTCTGGGCCATAATAATTGTTCTGTAACATAATAATTGGTAGGTTCACCCCTGTAACTGCTGCTGCTTTGCCTTCCCCACTGTTATATGCTATCTTAGAACATTTGACAGAGTGATGCTGCTGAAATGTTGGGATATTCAAATGCAGATAAACCTTAGTTTGCATTTGTGTAAAGGCTCTCCATTAGTATATTTTTTCCTTATTCCCTGCAGGATCAGAACAAGAAAAAGTAGAAGGAGGAAAAGAATACAGTTGACCCTTGAACAACTCAGGGTTGGGGGCACTGACCCCGCACTGTCAAAAGTCCACATTTAATTTTCAACTTCCCCTGGAATTTAACTACTGATAGGCTACTGTCGATTGGAAGCCTTCCCAATAACATAATAGTTGATTAACACGTATCTTCTATGTTATATGTATTATATATTGTATTCTTACAATAAAGTAAGCTAGAGAAAAGAAAATGTTACTAAAATCATTAGGAAAAGAAAATATATATATTTACAGTATTTGTTTTTTAAAAAAATCATGTATAAGTGGACCTGTGCAGTTCAAAAACTGTTGTTCAAGGGTTGACTATAATTTATATTTTGCCTTCCATTTTCTTTACACTTAAAAAATCCTAAAATCATATAAATTCCAGTTTACATTTCCTTAAAGACCTTCTAGTACATCTTGTTTTTGCTAGGTTTTGAGTTGGTTATAAGTGTATCACATTTAAAGAAATGTTTTACTAACTTTTTAACCATTTAAAAATAATCCCGATGCTGTATTTCTCTTCTGATTAAAAGCTTACTGTTTCAAGTCATAATGTTTTCATTTATTTAATTTTTTTAACGGTCTCAAATTGGTAAGGAGAAACTATTTGAATGGCTTATTGCAAAGGTCGGGGGGTACTATTACAGTAAAAGAAAGGGAGTCTCCATTGCAGTATGGAGACTCTCTGTTCTGCCTATAATGTCTGCAGACGTCTCCTTAAATTTCAGATGATAGCAATAGTAGGGAAAAATCTAGTTTTAGTTTAACTTTTAGAAAAATATGTTAGCTCTTAGTTTATTGGAATTGTATATTGTAATCTGCTCACCTAGAATTAGAATGTAGCTTTTTGACAGTATACCAGCATCATTGGCATTAGTTCAGGTGGCAGTGATTTTGTTGTTCTTGTTGGTAATGATTTGGACCAATTTACCTTTAGGCTAAACAGCAGTTGAATTTGCGTACCCACATGGCTGATGAAAATAAAAATGAATATGCTGCACAATTACAAAACTTTAATGGAGAACAACACAAACATTTCTACGTAGTGATTCCTCAGATATACAAGGTAAAATTTAAATATATGAAATTAATCTTGTTTTATTAGAGTTGGAAGAGTTACTTTTTAAATGTAAAACTTAAATTTCAGACATCAGTGTTTCTAGATTCACTAGTCAATATTGGTGATAAGAAATTTTTTTATGATATTAGTGTTGAAAACTAAATTTTTCCTAACTTTGAAATCACCTATTTTCCTATAGGTTTATTATTAGTATAATAGAGAGTCCACTAAAACAATGACATTTTCTAGATAAAATTTAATGCTGTAGCAATAAGTATTATGGCATAGGGGTAATTCACTGGAATTGTGTACTGTAATCGGCTTACCTAGAATTGGGATGTAGCTTTTTGACACTATACCAGAATCATTGGCATTAGTTCAGGTGGCAGTAATAAATCTTGTAAAGTGTGTTTACTAGCCTGATTTTTGCCTGCTTGTCTTCCTAGCTGCCAGATCATAAAAGTAATTTAGGAATGAGCTTGCTTAAATCCCATCCATCATCACTTGATGATGGCAGTTTCCAAACAGCTCAGGTAAAAACAACAGAATTTCCATGAGGGTTAAATTATGTTACTGCCTATTCTAGCAAGAAGAGAAATTAGAGCAAAGGGATTTAGCGAAACATTGAAAGAAGTACAGTAGTCTAGGAGAGCAGTGTTTATGTGGAAAGAGTGTCAGCCCAAATATATATTTTTTTCTTTGTAAGGAAAGCTAGAAGTACAAAGAAAGCATAGTGAGAGGTGGTGGGCTAGAGTGGGTATCAGATTCTGGTCTTTGAGTGGTCCTGCTACTCCTCACCCTGTGGTGGTTCTCTAGGCTTATCAGTCAATGCTTCATATTCTTGGGAGACCTTAACTTGGAGATCAACTACTTTTTGTGTTTTGGGACTTGAGCCTTTTGTTTAGACCTTGCTGTGGAGCAGTCTTGCCATTTTTTTGATTGTGGGAACAGTTCTGTGAAGTTGCAGGCCTCAAAATAAATTCCCAGGCTTTGGGAGGTAATTAAAGAGGAAACACTGCATGAAGGCTGTTGGAGTTTGGGATCTGATCAGTGTAGCTGCTTCTTAGCAGAAGGAAAAGTCAGTGCTGGCAAGTAGGAAATCTCATAAAATGTCTGAGTTGTTTGGCTTCGCGTGTACCAGCATAATTCTTAGTGGCATGTGCCAATGACATTTTGAATTGTGGGGACTCTATATATGTAACACTTGGACCTGAGGCTTTCTGTTCTACCTCTTGTGCCCGTTCCAAAGTATTTTGAACTAACTTAAGGGCTTAGAAATCTCAGGCTTGTGTATGTTTTAGGCTAATTGCTTAAAAAGGGAAAAAGAAGCATCAAAATTCTGTCTTCAAATGAAACTTTTCTTGGAAGTAGTAACAGCAACAAACTGCTGGCTGAAAAATGAAAAGTGGAGGTAGTGTGAGTCAAGGAGTAGGTAGCCCGTAGGGTGTCTTTTTAGAAGGTTTGAAACCAGTGTTATTTTTTTTCTCCTATTTAACAGGCTCAAATTTTAAGTATTACAGGTCTATGGCACTTGTTAAAAGGCATCAACAACTCATAACTGTTAGGGTATAACTTTAGGGTTTTGTTTTGTTTTTTTTTGAGGGAGGTTGCTTCAGAATGAAAAGATCTGTTTTTCTTCTCTCCCCCACCCCCAATTTCTGATTATTAGCAACTACAAGAAATGGATGAACGAAGGACTGTTAAACTCAGTGAGTGTTACAGAGGATTTGCAGACTCAGAACGCAAAGTTATTCCTATCATTTCAAAATGTTTGGAAGGAATGATTCTTGCAGCAAAATCAGTTGATGAAAGAAGAGTAAGTGCAATATAATTATATTTGAATAAATGTACTTGGTTTAGATGTGCAGTTAAGTTAGTGAAATAAATTGGAAAAGGGGTGAAGATACTGGTAAGTACTTGGATTCTAAATTCTGTAGAAGAAAGGCTGGTAATAGATTGAATTCCTTTGGGCTCTGAGGGCCATTATAAATACTAAAATTCTAATTGTTTCCTTTTTTCTTTTTATTGAATTTATTGGGGTGACTGATTAATAAAATTACAGGTTTCAGGTGTACAGCTCTCTAACACATCATTTGTATGCTATATTGTGTGTTCACCACCCCATTTGAAAGAAGATGTCAAGTCTTCTTTCATCACCGTTTACCCTCCTATATCCTCTTCTACCTCCCCCGACCCCCTTTCCCTCTGGTAACCACCATGCTGTCGTCTGTGTCTGTTTCAATAAAGAGTTCTAACCGTTCCTTCTCCTGTCCCCTCTCCTGTGCCCACTAATTTTTCACTTATACTACAAGAGCATAACTAAGCTGTGACCATGTTACAAACTGTATTAAACTCTTAATGTAGTTAGAGTTTAGAGTAGGAAATGCTCAGATTGATCAAGAGTGCTTTTAACACAAGAGTTGAACTTGCTTTTGAAGCATGGATAGTGTATGGAATGATGGCTCATGAGAAAGACGAAGGAAGGGGAGGGCATTATGAGTAGAAGGAATGGCATAGTACTGCTCCTCTTGAGGAAATACATCTAATCATGTTATATCTTGATTAAGGTCTAGCAGAGTCTTGTACCTAGTCATTTCCCAGTAAAGGTTGATTGAGTGACCAAAAAGGATTGTGGGCAGAAACTGAAGATATGTATATACCACATACTTTAGGCTTCACAGCATGTTGGTATTATATCAATATTAATGAGAATCCTTCCTGTAGCAAAAGAATTCTGACTTAAGTCTTTAAAAGAAAAGAGTGTTTTGGGTTTCTTTAATTAGGAATTCAAAGGTACATTTGTATTTTGGTATGGCTGGACCCAAGTTACAAATATAGCTAGGTCCCTCCTCTGCTTTCACTCTTCTTACCCTTTAGCAAATGATTGGTAAGTGTGGCATTAGTGACAAAAGTAGGTATCATTTAAGGATGACTTTTGACTACATGACAGACAAAATATACTATTATCAGAAATAGGGAATAAAAGAGGAGAGGTGGTTAGGGGTGGGGAGGAATTTATAGGGATAAAGTATTCTGTTTTGAAAAAAATGAGTATAAGATGTTATGAGAATATTATTTGGAATATGTATGTCGAAAAAACACTATATAATGTTTATGTATAATACTTACTTTAGGTAAATGGTCCTGGCTGGTGTGGCTCAGTGGATTGAGCACTGGCCTGTAAACCAAAGGATCAAAGGTTTGATTCCCAGTCAGGGCTCATGCCTGGGTTGCAGGCCAGGTCCCCAGTAGGGGGTGCGTGAGAGGCAACCACACATTGATGTTTCCCTCTCTTTTTCTCCCTCCCTTCTCCTCTAAAAATAAATAAAGTCCTAAAAACATTTTTTAGATAAGTGGTACTGAATTTCATGTTTTCAGAGTTGCTTTTTGCACTCAGTACTGTTTGTGAGATCTTTCTCCATTGCTCTGTTAACATTCCTGATTATGTATTTAATATAGTATTTTATTTATCTTCATTGGATGAATGAAAGCCTTTCTACTTGTCTTATACTCTATTACAGTTAGGTACCCTTTTATTTGTTCCAAAGGTCAACTTCTTTGTAGACATCCCAAAGCAAAAAGACTTTTTTCCTTTGAAATTTCTTATAATTAGATCTTTCTTATCTGCTAACTAGTCCTCAGATGAATTTCAGTGGGTTAAAGTGATAGAGTGAGAACATTTGTGAATATTACAAATTAATAAAGTGATAATTTATAAATTAGTGTTTTTTCTGTTGGGGTTAAAATAAGGTTTATTACAAATTCACAGGAAGAGATTATATACTTTAGTCCTTAAATGATTACTGTAGAATTATTTAAATTTTTATTGTTTTCTTTAATAATTTAAAGTTTTGAAAGCTAGTGTGTTATTATGAGCAAATGGAATGGTTTTTAAAACATGTTTCTTGTATATAGGACTCTCAAATGGTAGTAGACTCCTTCAAGTCTGGATTTGAACCTCCAGGAGACTTTCCATTTGAAGATTACAGTCAGCATATTTATAGAACCATTTCTGATGGGACTATCAGTGCATCCAAACAGGAAAGTGGGAAGGTGGATGCCAAAACCACAGTAGGCAAGGCCAAGGGCAAGTTGTGGCTGTTTGGAAAGAAGCCCAAGGTAAAAGTCATAAAGTTCCTCTATGCTAATAATTTTGTTTCAGTGTCATTTAAATCAATGTAGTTATCGAATGGATAATGTCTTACTATTAATAGAAAGTAAATACTTGGAATAATTTAATTACATTTTACTTATTAGAAACATAGAGTTTTATACCTAAAAGTAAAACTTATTTCTGGACTTAATGTTTGAGTACAACTTAATAACTATAAAATATCAAGTTGTTAAGTATCTCTTAAATTATATGCTTTTGAAATTTCATTTGTATAGTTTTAGTCAGAATTTCTAAAGAAACATGATCTACTTATATGAACACTAAAATTACAATTCTCAGTTGGAATGAATGATTGACCACAGCAATATTAAATGCCATATTAGGCTTGCTAGATCACACTAATAAAGTCATTTTTATCATCCATGTGAATATTTAATGGGAAGGGTTCAATGTTTGTGGTTAGTTGAAGTTTTAAAAAATCTCTACTAAGAAAATGTTGGTCTTGTTAGAACCTATCTTTTGATGTTCTGTTTATTTTAGATAAATCTAGCTCAGCAGACGAGCGAATAGAATAGAGTGCTTACACTTTTGTAACAATTTAGTGATTATAATAGTATAATATTAGTAGGAGAATAGATATGTGCTTTAATTAATCTGATGTCTGTATTTATTAAAACATGCATGATTTTTCTAATATATTTTTATGATCTTGACATGAACATAGATAAAATTCAACTCAATTTATATCTATATATTTAAAAGCACAATTAATGTTAACTCAAGCTTTATTCATGCTTTTCATGATACCATCCAGTTGAGAAGTTGCAAGGTGAGACTGTAAGTCAGATCAGCATAGCTAAGAGTTTAGAAAAACCAGGAATACTGAAATTAAACAAGCAATGAGGTACAATAATGGTGAAATAGAAATAGTCTGAGAGGAAAGCCACAAATGTCATGAAAAATTTTTGCCTGTTTGTGATAATAATCAGTTACAGTTCTAACATTTTAATACTTTATTTTAATGGATATTGCTTATTACAGATAACTTTACCTGTAGCTGCCACCGTTGTCTCTGACACGTACAGGTTAAACATGTATAGTGCTAATATTCTAGAGATCAGAAGGTAGTTTTTAGATTCTAGGCCATATTGCTCTCTGACATTATAATTTGCGTACTCTATATTTCTAGCCTGTCAGTTTGTAAAGAATGATAAAATGGATGATACATTTTTAAAAGTAAATTTGACTTTTTTAAATGATAGTTTTGGCAAAACTATGTTTACTTTCTCATAATATTTTTATAGAAAACTTTATTTGAGATATATTTTGTGAAAAGTATGTTGCCAAAAGTAGAATTTTCATTTAGAAAAAAACTGCACATTTGGCTTATTGATTCCTTTCTTTATTTCCATATTAGCCACAGTCCCCACCCTTAACCCCTACTAGTTTATTCACATCCAGTACTCCTAATGGGTCCCAGTTTCTCACATTCTCCATTGAGCCCGTGCATTATTGCATGAATGAAATAAAAACAGGGAAGCCCAGAATTCCTTCTTTCAGAAGCCTCAAAAGAGGGGTAAGTTTAATAATGGGTTAAAATGCATGATGGCCTATTGTGTGTGTAGTGTGGCTTTTAATACTCTCCACCCTCATTATAAGGCTCGCTGTCCTATAAATACATAGTTTAAAAACACCACAGAATTAAGTATAGCTGCCCTCAAATTAAAAATAACTCCTCTTTATAGCATTTGAAATGCTTAACCATAAAAGAATGGTATTATAAAGAGGGTGCTGGGTACAATCATACTAGCTATATTTTTGTTTATGTGAAATCATATGTCCACCATTGTCTTGTAATGTATTTACATTTTTAAGACTTTCAGTAATTTGTCACTGGAATTATTCATGTAATAATTTGTGACTGATGATGACTTCTGCCAATTTATAAAGCATTATTTCATTGATAAAAAAATCAAGTTCAATTTTAATTGCCCTACTTCTAGAAGCATAAAACACAACTTCCAGTAGTTAAATAGAAAATTAAAGATAGGCATGTTAAATATGAAGACTATAGATCTAAGATAATATGGTAGAGGATAGGTTTTAAATTGTAAAGCCTATGAGAATAGAAGATATTATTGAGTAATGTTTACATGGAATTTGTTTTCTTGAACTAAAAAAAGTAAGGTTTTTTTTTTTTTACCAGAATTTATTTCTTTTTGAAAATTGGCCAGCGTTTGGTATTTACTTATAACTAAAGATACTCTGCAAATAAGAAAATTTAGAATAGTACAAAGCAAATACTAAACTGTTTCTTATCAATAACTATTATACTACTGATAAATTAGTGTTATTCCTTTTATTAGGCTAATTTTCCTTATTTTTTATTTTTAAGGGCATGTTTATAATAGCCATACTCATACTTTAGATTCATTTATGAGATTTATTTTCATGTATGAAAACCAAAGATGTGATAACCCACAGATGAGAACTCCACGTCTGTGTCACGTGAAGTCTAATCACTGATTGACAGTGATATATTGTAGTTGGGTTCCCTCTTGCTAGTGCTCTCTGCCTTCCTTGTTCCCTTCTTCCTCTCCACTTTTCTTCATTTTCTCTTCTTTCTTTATTTTCTTCTCTGTTTAGCCTGGCTGTTTTTCTTACTTTTTTGTAGTCCTATCTTCAAATTGCTTTAGTTCAGTTTTCCTTTTGGCCACATGTAGAACAAGATAATATTAATTCAGGGCAGGATTACATTATTTGTCTACATTCCCATTAACACAGTATGACACACTTAACTGATGTCAGTAATGAAGCAGAAATGTCTTAGTGCGCCCTGGCTGGTGTGGCTCAGTGGATTGCACACTGGCCTGCAGACTGAAAGGTTGCTGGTTTGAGTCCCAGTCAGGGCACATGCCTGGGTTGTGGTCCAGGTCCCCAGTTGTGGGCATGGGAGAGACAGCAGTAGATGTTTCTCTTGCACATTGATGTTTCTCTCTCTTCCTTTCTCCCTCCCTTTTTGTCTCTCTGAAAATAAATAGAATCTTTAAAAAAGAAGAAGTAATGTCTTGGTATATTCTGCCTTTTTTTGGACTTCCCTTTTTCCCATAATGAAACAAACTTCTTTCCATTTACCTTACTGATTCTGTATGTGGATGATGTTATAGGTAATGACATTTTGTAAAGTCCCCGTGAATGAGTGTGCATTTATTATACTTATAGGCAATAGATAATAGGCAACAGAAATCACATGGGATTTTTATTGGCTGAGTTTGAGGGTAGAATTAATTCCTTTCTTCTCTGTGAAGACTGGGACTACATTAAATATTAGACTGAGCAGCCATATTTTTGTGTAACTGTTCATCCTACACAGTCTCCCAGGACCAATTACAGTACTCTACATAGGGTGGTCATGAAATACGAGGTAAGTGTAATTCTATGAAAAAGAGTTTTGGCAGTTAGAACTGTGAGCCCTAGAGAGACAGACTTAAATATGTGATATATTCATTCTTACTGGAAAAGTTTTATATGTTAATTTTTATTGTTATAGAACTTAAAAGTTTCTGCTTGTTCATTATGTCCACATACTGCTTTAATTTTCAGTATTAGCATATGATTTTTTTTTGAAGGCTTACTTTCAGAAAGCCAAAACCCTGCCACTTTTTAAATTATTTATTATGACAAAGAAATGGTAGCAAGATTGAAAATATGACAAACCAACCAGGAGACTAAGGAGCAGAGCAGGAAGGGAAGTTCGTTTCAGCTTTGGCATTGAGAAATTTCTTTCTTTTTGATTGGTACTTGATAATTTAGATATATTTTAAAAGTAACACATAGAGATGTTTTTCTTCCACTGAAGAATTTTCTCAAAATAGAAAATCCAAGAAGATAAGTTTTAACAGGAAGCCACATTACGTGTTTTTACTTGGACTTACATGTAAGTCCATTAAGCTTACCAAGTAAGACTTAACGCCTTTTTCCCTAGTGTTATTGAGAAATGATTGACATACATAACTGTGTAAGTTGAATTGTGATGGTTTGACTTACATGTATTGCAAAATGATAACCACAGTAGGTTTAATTAACATTTATCACCTCATATAAAAATACAGTAAAAAGAAAAGGAAAAAGTAATTTGTCCTTATGATGATAGTTTTTAATATCTACTCTCTCAAGAACTTTCCTATATATTGTATGGGAGAGAACTCACTACTCTTTATACTACATCACATCTAAGTACTTTTTATTTTTCCATAAAAATAGCCAACAGTAAATTTCCTAAAATAAACTTGATCCCCAGGTGTTGTAAAAACAGAGTAGTTTTTTAGTTGCCATTTCTTTTCAGTTTTATTGAGAAATAATTGACATTCATCACTGTATAAATTTAAGGTGTATGGCATGATGGTTTGATTTACATATATTATGAAAGGATTAGTCTTCAGTTTTCTTAAAACTAATGAATTGTACCATTCAAATCAGAAACTCTTGTTTTGAGCTATGTTTTGTTACATTACTTTTCCTAAATACCTGCTTTTTGGCTTTTCTAAAAATTTATAATTTATTTTTCTTAAGGAAAACCTAGTATATACAGTTCACAGTATCTTTAAGGATATGAGAAATGTTATATTGGACTAGTGTTTTGACCACAGTACCAGTAAACCTTTTCTGAGGGATGAGGGCCTGTAATTTCTTTCTGTGACATCAAGATTTAACTGTTAATAGATACTTGATACACACCCAAACTTAACTGCTCAATATAGAAACAAATTACTTCATTTGAGCCGTGTTTTCTAAGTTACTCAGTATCTTAGACTTCTAGAGACCTTTTTGTAGTCATTTATCTATCTAGAGTAGTTTTCAGAATTTCTCTATCTTTAAATGAAATACATTTAATAATATTAATTGCCTGATTTCCTTTTTCACTCCCTTGTGTATTTATTAAGGTATAGTGGGTATGTGAAATTTTCTAGTTCTAAGTATATGATAATTACACGAGAGTAAGGCGTTTCTGTATTGAATTTGAATTATGTTATGTATTTCTAATATTTTTACAAGAACTTGAGATTTCTGTATCCCTAAAATTTCATTAGCTAAACACAGAAACATCTGATATTTCAGTCATAATTATCTTGCTTTTTTCTAAAATGTTAGTATATCAACTGGTAAAAATTATAAATGATAAATATCTTAGGTATTTTGCTTCCTGTCCTATATAAAATTTTGTTTTAATAACATTTAAAGCATGAATATCTTTTTAAAGTTTAAACTATTAAATTTCATCAGGAATTTTGTCACAAATAAGTTGTGGTTTTGCTCCCTGAAACTACTGACAGTCTAAAGAATGTTAAGCTTAATTTGGAAAGATAATGGATAGCATATGTCATCTTTTTTTTATCATTATAACCATTAATATATATGGCCAATTCATCAGAGATAAGGGGTAGATATTTTTTGTCAGCTATTAAAATTCATATTTTTATGTGAAATTCTATTTGACATTCCCCAAACTTCTTTAAAACAGTATGATTTGAAAAGCAAGGAAAGGTAAAAATTTTAGAGGCTACTAACCAAATGCAATAAATGTGAAGGTTAACTTTGTAAAGCTCTCCTGTGTATTCTGGGTCACAGGGCTGTGTGTTTGTGTGTGTACTTGTGTGGGTGTGTGTGCTTGCATGTGTGCACGCGTTCACATGTTCATTTGGGATGCTGGATAGAGGCAGTACCAGTTCCAGAACCCTGCTAACCCACAGAATGTGCGTTATATATGCACATGCAGTATATATGACTATATGAGAGTTCTCTGGCTATGTCATTTCATGTTTACAGAAAGAATACATTTTAACCAGTTTTCTAAAAATTGAAGTTATATTTTTAATGTTCCTTTTTGAGCATTTGGGTTTTGGAATAAAAACTGAAAACTAGAAGTCATATCTTCAAAACAAAGTTCAGTTTATATCCTTGTGTCTATCAGGAAATACATATAGAAAGCTTGAATCTATGTGACTCATTTATTATTTTGATTCTAATATGTTTTTAATGTGTCTGTACATTTTTTAAAAGCACCCTAAAACTAAAGCAGGAATGTTACCCTGACCTAAAACCTACCCATGATGTATTTAAATTCAACACAGTATTTTGAACTATAAAAATTCAGATAATGGTATTCTTTTTAATGCATTGGAAAGGGCATTCCATTTTATAATAATACTTTTAAGATTTCTTTTAAAATGGCTAATGTTAAGTCTTGTATATTCAACTTTTCAAATATTAGTATTTTGAGAATGAAGAACTATATAAGTGAAATCCACATAAGTAAAACCTCTCTTTTAAAGAAGAAAATACATGATTATTGATAGAATAATAACTGTTTACTTTTTGAGTTTGAGTTGCATATACAAAATATCTGCCCATTATCATCAGTGTAATTTTTTTTTGCAAGTAATTTACATGAAAAAAATGTGCTTAAAATGTTTTTTCTGGCATAATTGTTTGGATTGTGAAATGTACATGATTTATTTTAATATTGTAAAAAATATATATAGGTTATTGCATCTTCTCTATTATGGTTTCACGTGAATAATTTACCATTTCTTTCTGTTTTCCATTGAACTATTCAGTGGTCGATGAAGATGGTAAGCCTTATGTGCTGATCTATATACTGTGCCAACATTAAGTAATCTCAAAACATTGTTTTGTTTAAAGCCAAAACAAGTGGTAAGGTACATCTTCACATTTCCATTGTATATGTATTTTTTCTTTTTATGATTTAATCCATAGTCCAGCAAATGCCAGTACTTCTTGATGTCATAAAAATTCAAAAATAATGTGGTTAACCTGTAATCAACCCATTAAGTTTTTAAATGTTATTAGGTATAGTCCTTGTCATGTTACAGAGAATAAGATTATAGTTAAACATTATTTTGGAAGTTACATGGTGGAACAAAATTTTGTTTTAATAGGACGAAAATTAAATGATTTTTCTTAACACACTTTTTACAAGGTCATATAAATTTGATTTGTAGTTTATTGTAAGAATCATTAGATTTTTCTAAAAAATAAGAAGGAAAATTTTCCTACTAATTTTACTATAGAGTCAGTGCTTGCTTCTTCTGCATCATTGAACAGAAATAAAAGCACAAATAATTGAAATGTGTGTGTGTGTGTGTGTGAGAGAGAGAGAGGAAGAGGAAGAGAGGGAGGGAAAGAGTGTTCCTTTATACATTTATTTTAGAATTATTGGGAGTATGTTGTAAAGGCCTAATTCCCAAATTATTGGGTTCTTACATAGTTTCTTATTTTAAGAAAAATGAACCACTGTTTTTCAGACTCTTGCAGTGTAGCCTTTTCTGAATTTCCTTGTGGTGGTGGGGGGGGGTGGTTCTTAACAGAGGACTTCTTTACATCCATAGGAAACAGAGTGGAGTTCCTTTTCACATCCTATAAAAGAACAGGTTATAATGTCAAAATGGGATATTAGACATGCAGGTGCCTAGATAGCTGCTGTTAATAAATTTGAGAACAAGTTTTAATTAGGGATGAGTGGAAATTTGGTAAGTTTACTTACAGATGGCTTTTATTTTATTACTGTACTACCAAATAAACCACATTGGAATATATTTCTTCATTTTGTTAAATAGTTTTTCAAAATTTTTAAGAAATATTAAAAATATATAAATTAGAAAGTCTTTGGCACATATGTAATAGTTTTTAAAACCTGTGCCATAAATTAAATTAAAACTGAAAAGTTATATTGCTAATTGACCACTACATTTCAAGGATAGGAAGTTTTGTATTTATTCATTTAGGTCAAATTTGGCTGATTGACAGATTCTCAGGTATGGTGACTGGTAGATTAAAGAACAAAACCACTTAGACAAGATGTCCTACTTTTTAGGCAAGCTTGTTAAATGTCCATAATGTGCAGACCACTTGGGCAAATTCTAGAGATTATGTTATTAAATGTATATTTGATCATGGCTTATCCTAAAAGTGAATTTTCTCATTTTTAAAAGCAAGGGGAGCATTCTTATATGTAGTGAAATAAAGCCATTTAATTCATGTTATAGGCATAAGTGGCCCAAAGAGCAAGTATACGTTTATTTTGGGAGCTCACTTCAGCAACACTTTAAAGACTGAACTTGTGTATTCTTAAAATCATTTTAAAATGAAAAAAGAAGAATGAGATAGGCGTTATAAGTCCTGGGAATGTATAAAAACTATGTAAATATGGGTTTATATGAAATGAAATCAGTAGTTGCTAATATTGGTTCTGTTGTATAATGTCTAATAAAATAAACAGTGACATGATTAACATTTAAGAGGCGAAAGACATTATTTGAATCAGAAATTTACATCTGAATACTAGAACTTTTTCTTAAATGGTATAGTTTTGTTTTAATATTAAAGCTTTAAAAAATTTTCAAGCATACTTCGAAAGAAGGATTGTGCCTCTCTTTCTGGATGATGCCATTCTTTCAGGAACAACAGAGGCGTACTGTTTGGTTGTAGGAGAAGCTAATTGAAACTAGACTCCTTACTGGAATATGATTTCTGTTTATATTTCACTTAGTGAATCTTTTGTTTTTTAATGATCAAGTATGTTTTGGTTCTAAAGAATAGAGTGGTTTAATAATGTATTAATTCAAAGACTATATGCAGTATTAACATTTCATTAGTTAGATCATCTTTATGAGGTAATTTGCTTACTTAATTCAGTTATCTAAACTTCATAGTTTCAGTCTGAACATTTGTAACATTCTGACTGGAAATGTGGTTATAGGCCACGTATAAAACTATAATTTGTATAGGTGAGAAATGTTACGTGTTTCCATTTTGTTGTTGTTGCTGTAAGAAGATCCGTATATACTTACTGTAACCCTACCAAGACCTGGAGATACTGGGATACAGGTCATTACCACTGATCTGTATCAGGTGTTATTTTTATCATTCTATTTTGTGATTTTATAAACTGACTGTAATTTGAGCCCTTTGTGAATATACAGGGTCCAGCACAAATAGTGTCTCTTTTTTGTTAAAAAATCTTTTATTACAAAATCATAAGCATGTGATTCTATAACGTAACAGTATCATACTCAAGCACACCACATGACATTTTAGGTGAAACGTCCAAATTGAAACTATAAATTAATACACTCATATTATTACCCTACCGACCACACTCAGGCAGTTGTTTCTTCTGCTGGACCCTGTAGTTGTTTTAATTAACACACACATATCTATGTAGATTTATTTTTCTTAGAAGAGGTTGTTTGGGGCTGACTTAAAATTGACATTCTTACTTTATAGTGAATATATATAAAAGATAAAATTTCATGAAAATGTCTTTTATACTGATGTAGATTTTCTTTTCAGGGCCCAGCACTAGAAGATTTCAGTCATCTGCCACCAGAACAGAGACGTAAAAAGCTACAGCAGCGCATCGATGAACTTAACAGAGAGCTACAAAAGGAATCAGACCAAAAGTATTTTTCCATTAAGTTCTCTTTACCATTATTATTCCTTTCCAGGTCTACTTTGGATGATGTGTTTAAATATCATGTATAAAAAGTTTAAGAATCATGCATCCTAATCAAAATATCTTTTGAGGGAAAAATACATTCCTAAACTTTGGAAATTTTTATTGTTGCCATGTCACAAGTAAAAATGAAACGTTAGAGTTTCCTGGCTTGCATATTACTTATTGGAACTAACAGTATATATTTATGTCTTCCCAAAATTTACAAAATCACTTGATGACTCATTATCAAGAGTACTTTCACCAATGCTAACCACTCTTATACTCGCATAAATTTCATTTTGCTTTGGTATGTAAACTGAGTTCAATAGAAACCTGAAGGTATACTTACTTCATTTGGAGCAAAATATGTTGGCAAACAGTGCTTGATTACTTATGGCTTCAGATTCATTCACTCAAAGCTTAATTTTTTTCAATTTTATAAAAATATTCCTGTAGTTCAGTTTTGCTTTAATGAACATAGAGAGTTTTGATGAATAAAGGGTTATTACAATGATTTGGTGACTGCGCTTTATACTGAAGATAAAATTGGAGCTTAAGTTCTGGAATGGGTGATTAAAGAGATTGTGAAGAATTGTACAACACATGTGATCGGATGCTTAATCATAAATATGTCATTACAATGAATTCTCATTATTTGTGGCAGCTAAGCTCTATGAAGTCACTGAACACTGGATTAGTGAATACCAGTACGGAAAATGCAGGGCTCCAGTTATTAGCCTCTGGTCACAACATTTTTATCAACTGACCTATACATAACCTTGTTTTATATATATTTCTGTTTGAAGACACATTAATATATATTGTTGATTCACTAACTTTGTACTCAGGGCTAACAGCACAGTAGCTCATGCCTGAACAAAGTTTATATAACGTATTTTCTCCATAAGGCACCTTACAGCCTTCTCACTCTTAAGAACACTAGATCACACTTCAGTACTACTCTTATGGGCTATCTGAAACAGAAAAATCACCAACTATGAGCATAAAGCGGACACTCGTTTAGAGTATCAGAGCAGAAACAAGAAGTTAGAGTATCTCCTTGTTTGACCTCAGCTGAGAATGTGCACATGCATCAAATAACTCAAATTTTTCTCCACTCTGTAATGTCTAATGACTGTGAAAGTGCCATGAGTCTTTCTTTCGAGGTTACAAATAAATTTTAGCAAATGCACAATTCACAGATATGGAATCTACAAATAATGAGGATCAGTTGTATTATAGTATAAATTTTTAATTGAGGTATATTTGACATATACATCATTGTTAGTTTCCTATACAGCATATCTTTGTATATGCTACAAAATGATCACCACAATAAGTTTATTTAATATCTGTTACTGTCCATACTAACAAGAAAATTTTTTCTCATGATGAGTATCTACTCTCTTAGCAACTTTCAAATATATAGTATAGTATTAACTATACTCACCATGCTATACATAATATCCATATAAAGTAATTTTTAAATATTAAAATATTACTAGAGGAACACATAAATGGTCTCTGGAAAATTATAACATGTAATGTAATATTTAGGGCTTCCTATATGTAATAGACTGCCAGGATGGCAGAAGATAGAAAAATGAATAAAGCATAGTTCCTGATCTTAACAGACTCACATTTTAGTTGGGAAAAATGCAACTCAAGCTATTCAATTTCTATACAAGCTGGAATATGATAGCTGCTAATAGAGATGTAAAGTTCTGGGGGAAACTAGAGGAAAAAATAATGAATTCTTACTGGGATAATTAATAGTCTTAACTGGGGAGATTTTAGGAGAAGAGGAAGGGTGGTGTGGAGGAAACTAGTGTTTATTGGGGAATTATTATGTATTAGGAAGTGAGTCCTGCATTTTACATGAAGTATGTCATTGAATTCCTCAAAATAGCCCTTTGAAGTTGTTCCTGTTACATAGATGGAGAAATTGAATATCAAATTCATAGTGTGTCTAAGATTAGATACCTGGTAAATATCAGAGTTGACATCTAAACACTAGTGGTTTGCCTTCAGAACGTTGGAATTAGACCTTGATGGGAGAATAGGGTTTTGTCAGTTAGATAAGAAATTAGACAACAAGCCATGAGTAGGAACATTTAAGGAAGAGGGGGAAAACAAGAATAAAAACACAGAAATGTGAATGTTTTTGCACGGCCTGGAATTAGCTCTAGGCCAGGGAGATTTGATTAGAAGTTGGTGTGGAATGTTTTAGCAGAAGATGAGGCTAAAAAGGTATAGGATGAATTATATAAAGTCTTAAATGCTTTTTTGTAGAATTCTGTAGGTATCGGAGAGCTGCCAGAAGTTGTTGAGAGAGTGGGTGATATTATCACCTTTATATTTCAAAGAAAGATAATTGAAAATTATATGAAGAGTAGACTATATAGGAAAGACATTGGCAGCAGGAAGACCAATTAGAGGACTTTATAATATTCCAGGTGAGAGATGCTGAGGGATTTAGTTGTATTTGGAATTAAATCTAGAAGTTAGGAGAGAAGGACTAAAGATACATATTTGAGTATCATCTGAAGATAGGTGATATTAAAGCAGTAAGTGAATTAAATCTTAATAAAACTGGAAAAACAAAACAAGATCATTCTGAAGAAGGAGTGTAGGATGCGATGAGAAGAAACCTGTGTCATTCTGTGTAACATGCATTTAAAGGATGAACAGAGGAAGGGAAGGAGCCAGAGAGGATTATGAGACAGAAGGGGTGAAGAGGAACAAAAAGAAAATTATTCTCCAGGAGATCAAGAAGGAAAAGAGGATTAGGGAGTGTAAGTCAATAATGTCAGATGTTAGAGTCCAGGAGAGCTGACTGAGCCAAAACCAAATTTAGAGGTAGAAGGGCAAGTTAAAGTTGCATTTCTGTTTCTAGCATAAATGGGTGGGGGGACAGTGATGCTGTGAACTAAGAAAAGGTGGCATGATGTGTCTGGATGGGATCATAATGGGTTTGATTTGGGATATGATGAATTTAAGAATACTGAGGAGTATTTCCCAGCCTTTGATTAAACAGATTTTATATATTTTGTATAATATATATGTTCTCATTTAGGAAGCGAGAAATGAGAAATTAAATCTATTTTGCTTTTAATATTTCAAATGATTTAAAGGACTATCTACATAAATTACACTTTATATACTTTGTCAGATGATCTTTAACCAGGTAATATCTTTTCAGAGTAGGCTGCATGTGAGTCCCCAAAAGTACATGGAATTCTTTTATCTGGGAACATACAGAGGTGAATATTTAGTGTTGTGGTTTCCTTTTTGTTTTCAGAGAGGCACTCAACAAAATGAAAGATGTATATGAGAAAAATCCACAAATGGGGGATCCAGGGAGTTTGCAGCCTAAATTAGCAGAGACCATGAATAATATTGACCGCCTGAGAATGGAAATCCACAAGAATGAGGTAGATTTGTTGTCTAGCAGTTGTCTGAGATAAATTTATTTGTATAAACTTCATTATCATAGGTTGGTTTTTGCTAGAATTATCTTCAAATATTTATTTAATTTTAGGGTTCATGATCTGAAAGTAAGGTATCATATGGTATCTAATGTTTAGTCCTTTGTTGAAGGTTTTTTAATTTAAAATATTGTATAAAACTAAACATTTAAGCTTTTTTTATTAGCCATAAAGTAGATCATTGACCAAATTGGAATAAAGATTTCCCTTCTCTGAGAATTACATAATCATAAAAACTCAAAGCACATTTTAAATGTAGAATATTTTACGAGCTTTTAAAAATATTTATTAAGCTCAGTTTTACCTATTTTTTCCCTAAGGCATGGCTCTCTGAAGTTGAAGGCAAAACAGGTGGGAGAGGAGACAGAAGACATAGCAGTGACATAAATCATCTTGTAACACAGGGACGAGAAAGGTCATTTTTTTGTATTTTATTTGTATCTTCTTTTCTTACTTTTTTTTCTGAACTTCATATAATTTTTTTCTTCCTCTCATTTAACAAGTTTGACTTTTAATAACATCAGTCTTTCGAATCTAAGTAATTTTCTGTTTCTTTACAATAGCTATAGGTGCAGTATGAAATTTCAGATTGCCGCTCAGTACTAGTTCGTCATGCATGTAGAAGCAGAGGTGGGAGCATAGACATGTCTTAGAGCTCCAGTCTGGAGGCATAGGCTCCTCGGGCCTGGGGAGGGTCTCTTAAAGTGGATGGAATTTGGTAGCAAATGCCAAAGAAAAATTTAACTCATCTTGCTCAAAGATTTTTGAAGGAAAAAAATGTGTATAGTTAGTTTGGACCAGAGCTTCCAAAAGGCATTTTGCTAAGTTTCCACACCATTTGTGGCATTTCCCCCTTTGTAATATATATATCTTTTTTTTTTATGATAAGGTGCAACAAATTAGACTTCACCTTAGAGAAGAATTTGAGAAATCTTGGTTTACTCCTAAAAATTACACAATAATTTGAGCAAGTTCATTTTTAATGTTCTCTGAGTCTGTTTCCTCAGATATATAAAAAAAAGATTAAAATACCCCTCATGCAGGATTGTTAGTAATAAATGAAGTAATGTACATAAAACACCTAGTAGTAAAATACCTGGTAGTGGTATGTTCTTGATAAATATCACTTCCTTTTCCTCATTATCATTTTTTGAACGAGTATGTATCTTCAGTATATCAAGAGATATCCTAAAATACACTGGGTTTTGTTAAAACCTAGATTTTAATAATTCAGTCTATTTTGCTTGTGTTATTTAAGAACATATCTTCTGGGCGTATAGAAAATGCTGCTAATTTAATCATGTAGATTTCCCTATTATTAAAATCATACTTAATCATTTTATTTGTCAGCAAAAATTATTAATATTTTTCTCTCTTTGATTTAAAACCTTTTAAAGAAAATAGTGCCTTTGGATTACTTCTTTTTGGGATTTTCTAAGTTACTAATTTAGGAGATAACATAATTAATTGGAAATTAACTTTACTAGAAGTCTTTGGGGTTTTAGTGACAGAATGAAATATTCAACCCACACGGGCTTAAACTAAAAGGAGATATTATTAGCTGGCTTTAGGGAGAACTTAATCTAGGAGTTCAGATGATATATCTCAGGACTCAGTTTCTCTCCACCTCATGGTTCTGCCTTCCACTGTATTGGCTTCATTTTAAGGCTTCATATGGTAATCTTTCAAAGCTTTAGGCTCATATTTCTCCAGGTTCAAGTCAAGTGGAAAAGGAAGGGAGCTTCTCTTTCAACAGTTCCAAGAAAAGGTCTCTGTGAATCTCATATCTGATTGGGTTACAGGCCTACTTGAGTGCTGTGCTAAGATAGGCCCTCTGGAGCCAGGACAGAAAGATTCCATCTGAAACCTGTTAACTGAACATGGATCTGGGTAGGTCCTGTAAGGAATTTTAGGGTCCTCTTGACAAAAGAGGGAGTGATGAATCCAGGATGATGAAAAACAAGCATCCAGTACATCTTGAAAATTTCTCTTTACCTGGTGATAGTGAGACATATTTATTAACACAATGCTGTGTTTCTAGAACATTGTAGTCTTTTGAATTTTAAATTTAGGAAATTCAAGAAGCAATAAACACACATACACAGCCAGAGTTAAGAAAATAAAGGTTTAATATGGAGCTATGTAATTAATACTTAATTCTCTGAATTAATCCTGAGATCAACTTGTAGATAATACAAAAAATTCCCATGTTTGTGATACTTGATCAGAGTTAATTTTATGTTTTATAGTCCTGAGGGAAGTTACACTGATGATGCAAACCAAGAAGTTCGTGGGCCACCCGAACAGCATGGTCACCACAATGAGTTTGATGATGAATTTGAAGATGATGATCCCTTGCCTGCTATTGGACACTGCAAAGCTATTTACCCTTTTGATGGTATGATTTTTCTAATATATGATAAAATCGATTCCTTAGTCTACATACAAGAGTTACGTACTTTAGTGTCCTCAGCTAAATAATACATTGTCAGACGGTTATCTGCCCGGTTCATTAGTATGGATATTTTTATTCTACCATATTACAAATACAGAGATTTACCTTCCATACATGCATTTGAAAGAAAATTATCTATGCTATCAGCATCCTAATAAAGAATTTCCCCCAGAGGTCTTATTAATGCTGCATGTACTCACTAAAGTTGAAGCAGGTTGAGCTTCAACTTTACGACCCAGGAAGTAGAAGGCTGGTAGATGTCACCTCCAGCTTTTCCTTGTAACTTGCTAACAGTGGGAGACGGGTACAAGGCAAATGGCATACCTGAATCTCCACCACTATATCCTGACTCTGTGGGCCACATTTTCAGGAGAGAGGAGGAGAGGATATGGTGACTTGTGAGTTGGCCACATTTTCCTCTGTGACAGCTGGGTGACAAACTGTGGGAGGGGAGGAAGTCACAGTGGCTCTCCCTGCAGATGTTTAGTCAGCCTCCCCTCTCTCCTGGGAAAAGGACTGTGAAAAGTCTTCAAATCACAGAGGAGCACAGCAACACCTTTACAAATAAGTTGTTGTAAAATGGTATGTGATTTAAGGCACCGTATTGGTTTTAAAATTGAGTAAAAGTCTTTAGTTACTCCTCATTCTGAGAAAATAATATTAAATAAGATCTTGCTACAATGTAATGTAGAGAACAGGGAAGGATCACCAAAGTTGAGCCTGTGTTTTTTCTCTCTGCTCTCTCTTCAAACTACATTTTCCACTGTCTCACTGTCTTGTTACTGTTTTCCTGACCCACATCTCATGAGTTTTCTACATAACAACACCACTCAAGTTTGTTGAAGTAGCAAAATAGGAGTTAGAGTACCCATGCAAATCATGCAATATCATTGTGGCTTTTGCTTCATCCGTTTCATGGGGGTGATATTAATGCCAGCCTCACAGGGTTATTGTGCAGTTCAGATGAGACAGTGTGTAAGGACGTGTCGGATAGACTACAAAGTACCAAAGAGATGTTGTTAATGAGAGTCAGTGGGCCCAGGTACATTGAAACCTAGTAGGGTTTCATCGTGTTGCTGTGTAAATTGTATTTGTAACTTATTTGAAATTATTACTGTGCTTAAATTATGCGTGTACTGTGAAAACTCTCATCTAGGACACAATGAAGGTACTCTGGCCATGAAAGAAGGTGAAGTTCTGTACATTATTGAGGAGGACAAAGGTGATGGATGGACAAGAGCTCGGAGACAGAACGGCGAAGAAGGCTACGTTCCTACATCATACATAGATGTAACTCTAGAGAAAAACAGTAAAGGTGCAGTAACTTACATCTAAACTAACCAGGCAGCTTTGTGATATGTATAACTAGGAATGATAACTTAAAATGAAAACACATTCAACAGGTGGGAAAACATAAGAAAACTTACAGGCATCCAAGATTTATTGTTCACTATGTGAGCTGAATGTAGGCTCAATCTTAAAGATGTGAATATTACCACAAGAAACTGTTCTTGTTGACGCTTTACCATTTGAGTGATGTTGGTGTGAAGCTTAATTGGTGCCTTTTGCTTTATGTCCTGCTTGAGTCTGTGTGAAGGATTTGTGTTTTTCTGCCTTATCAATCATAGAATTTGACCTGGGGCAGGAATCCATAAATAAAAGCTCCCCCCAACACACACACACATACACACACTTGGCTTCAGAAAACAGTGACTGTAGTGAATTCAAATAAGTGAAACTGTTTTGAAGTGCTGTGGAAAGCTGACTCCCAAACGAGTGGTTTGGTATAGGAGTTTGAATTTAGCTATAGTCTCTAAGAAGACAAGTAATAATAGTTGGTTAATTGGATAAAATAAGAATATAACCATTGTCATTTTCTTTCTTATTCTTTGATTTTCTAAAAGAAGGGATAGCTACTTAGCACAAAATCTATCATAGTAGTAGGTGAATCAAGAAACCTACAAAATAACCTGGTCTAGCTCTTAAGTGAATAAAATGGCTTTCTTTTGAGACCTGAAAATATTTTCAGGCTTACTAGTAATTTTCAGTAATGTACAAGCTCCCTTCAAAATTAATCTAATGCTTGTATTTTTATTTGGGGAAGAAATATCACTTTAGTGAATATCACTTTAGCATTTAGCAGTTATAGTAGGAAAATAGACTTCAAATGAGCTAAGGTAGAGGGGAAATCTTGAACGGAGATGTACTGGCACATCTTACTTTGAAAAGAAAAATAGCTTCTTTGACTAACTGGGTTGGAGGAAGGTATCTGTACCACCATTTAGAGCATTTCCTCATTTTAGCTGAGTCATCAATGATTAGGATAGATTCTTTTTTCCAAGTAAGTGAGGAAGCAGCTATGAAACTGGTCATTAATTTTGCTCATGTTCCGAATTTTTCTGGTGTTTTCAGTAGCTGACTATAAAATGAGCTTAGGGACATTTGGGATGGACACTTTAAACTGAACACCCCTTTTGGTCTTACCAAAGGTCTTCAGTAATTGTTCTTTTCTTTTTCCTCCTGGACTGCAGGTTCCTGAAGAGGGTTTCTGAGGAAATGGGCAAGATGTTGAAGGAGGTTACATGCAGCTGCTTTTGGGGGGGAGGGTGTTAGAGTTGTCAGGCTCAAAGAGAGAGTGAGAGAAGCAAGTTGCATGAGTGCATGCAGACATCGTTATTTTTTACTAACTTCATTAGCATTTCCATACATTGTTTTTAAAAAATCATTGTGAGTCTCTAAATTCCTCATTCACAATTATTCACATGAAGTGGGGGAAGCAACAATGGCTAACATTTTTCCATTTATTTTACTGATGTCCATATCAGAGAGAATGCAGAGCTGTCATTAAATTTGTCTTACATTTGGCTGTCCCACCAGGACCATCTCTGTCCCAGCTCTGTTTTAATTGGCTTTTAGATCTGTTGTCTGTTAGAGCCCTCGCCATTCGTCAGTGTCTGCCTGCGCCACTTCTGTGTTTGCTTAACATCCTGTTGCATGTCTAGAGTGATTGGGCTAGATTTTTCAGGCATGTTGTTATAAGCCCTTGTTCTTGTCAAAGCTTTAGTTTTGTCTTACATTTGTAGCGCAAATCACTTTGTCAAACATCTCCAGCACTAATGTTTCCATCCTAGTGTTTGTGTATGCTGCTATAACTTCTCCACTGCAAAACATTCCAGTTTTGGCATTACGAAGAAGTAGTTTGTGAACCTGAAGTATTTATGATAAGAAAAAGAAAACATCTCTGCTCTAGCCTACAGCCCAGTTGAAAGAACTCTTTGAAGCGTGATACATCTTCAGCACCTCAGTCTGGGAAGAATCTATAGTCAGCACTGAAATCCTGGCATAATAAACACAGAAGATAACTCACCACCTCAAGACAAAGGACTGTTGTCAGAAGTCAGCTGCTTCCATTCAAATGCTGCCTTAAACTAGAGTGCCTAAATCTGTTGATTGCCAACACTACCACTACAGTATCCCACAAAGGGCTTGGTGTCAGCTCAGTGTGACCTCTTTTAACTCTGCGGGGCTGCTGCAGCTGCCGACGTAGCCTCGGTACGTGGCTTTTAGAGCTCTACCATGTTCAATGGTGCGTCTTCACATTTTCGCATCAAACTAGAGACCCGTTCGAGTCCATTTGACTGTACTCAGTGTTTTTATGAGATGTTTTATAGACACCCCCATGGTCTTTTAATTTGGGGTTACCATGTTCTCATTTGATTATTACAGTGATTGTCTGTTTCCAAGTGATGATTTTGTTTGAACCAGATAAAAGTTAGTGAAACTTCATAATGATTTATGTGCACTTTTACTTGTAAAATGGAAATTTCTGTATGTTTATACTTGTAAATATAGTTGTCGTTAGTGCCCTATTGCTCCTGTTGTCCTGCCTCGCATTTGTGCTTCTGTTAATGACGTGTACCTTAACTGATTCCTTAGTGGTGTTTAATAGGGAAATGAGCGGGGGTGGGGGGTTATTTCTAACAATGGAAGCTTCATTAATTTCGTTCTTTACTATTTTGAGGGAAGAAAGAGAATGTGAAATGGTCTGTGTATTGTTGGATTTTAAGCAATATTTTAGAAGCTGTGTGACTGCTTTAATAACTTTTGCCCAGTGTTATTTGAATCGTACTACCAGTTATACTAAAGCTAAATGACAGTTGTGTGAAAGTTAATGCCTTCATGAGATCGAGTATGCCCTTGTACACAGCTGACATGTAGTGTGTTACTTTTGAGGCTAGTGAACTATAAAGTTTAGATTTTGAATCTTGTTACAGGGTTATTTATATAATGTGACATTATTCAATACTGACAGACTACATAAAGTAGTTTTAAATCCTAGTGCTATTTGTATTTTAAAGGTTAGCAATGAGGAGGAAATGTGATCTGGCTATGTTTGTCTTCTGTACAAAGCCTGAAGTGCTTGTGTTTTTTTGGCTAGCAGCCACAGAGGGCAAAGTTTAAGGTTTTCTTGTAAGGACTAACTGTTCTTTTCAAGCTACTGTTTGTTTTTCTAAAAGCAGGATTTGCTTCCGTAGGAGGCAAGTTCCTTCATGTGGAATAGTGCAACCTGTATCTGGGTTATTATAATAGGAAGGACATTTGTACTTGCACAGTTTAAATCATTCTTAAATTTTAAACATGTGAATTGTCAAAAAAAACTTGTTTTTTTTTTTTTTCGATAATTTCTACTCTTTGTGCACATGTTGATTTCTTGATGGTAAATGCTTTGTTTAAGATAGTGTTCTCTGGTGAGAATATTTTCATGGAATAAAACAATCTTTTCCTGGTCAGTTAAGGTATATAGTGTGTTATCTCTTATTGCTATGTAAACTAAAAGTTTTGTTCCTGAATGTGCTAAATTCCAGATAATATAAAGTAGATGGCAAGTTACATAAGTGGAAGCATCTGTTTTGAGCAATCTTTTTTGAAAACCAGTTCTGGAAATTTTATTCTAGTTTTTGGTTGCATTCAAGCTTTCTTAAAGGAAAAAAAGTTAGTATTTCTTTACCCTGAATATAAGTTGAGTGTAATAATTTGGATTTTAGGATTTTAAAACCTTTGTTCTACAATAGCTGCATTGCACAGACTTCCCTTGTGCACTACTTGGTCCTCTGCGTCCATAAAAACTCCCCTGTACCACGTAGCTTGATCTAGCCACACACTGGTCGGCACTTCCTGTGCTTCCGCCTGAATTTCTAATCAGTTAGAGGATTACCCTTGTCTTCTGTTTGTCATAAATAGTATCATATCTGTCATTTTAGCAAGTCTTTAATTTCAGAAGATTCATCTTTTTAAAAGGGCTTGTATAAAACTGTGAGCAGCTACTTGATCCTGAGCAATGAGGGACTGTGACTGTTGAGATGAAAATTTGAAGATCCATGCCAAGCTGCGTGTGGGGACACACACAAAACAGCAGGAAAACAGTGTGAACAAACTGAAGGGCTTTTACTATCTGAACTGAGATCGGGGAAGTCAAATCCTACTTGTTGAGGAAAGATAACATCCTCACAATAATATTAATGAAAGCAAAAATATCTTTGGGCTTGTTGGAAAGGATAGATTTTCTTTGAAGAAGGTATTAGTTTAGGTGAAAAATGATAAACACCAAACCTATTTCAGTAAGGTCATACACCTGAAATCAAATATATTCCTAGGTATAATCACTGTTAGTAACCTAAGAAACTATAACAAGTATAAGAGATGCCAAAAGATTGGGGGTTGAAGAGTAAATTCAGGTAAACTCAATAGCTCTTAAAAGTACTAGATAATTTTGTCAGCATTTAGGAGAAAATGTAATGGACAAATGACCTAGGTCCTAAGAATAAGTAACATAAGATTAGCTTCATTTCTTACGTTAGATACAGTCAAGAAACTACAGGCATAATTGTCTTGATTTCAGCACAATTTTAATATTTGGCATGATTTCTCGCTCATTTTTGGGAGTAAGATGGTGATCTCATTGTAGAGAAGAGGAGGTTGCAATAAGTTGATTCAGTAAACCCACAATGTAAGCCCTGAGAACTTTTTATGGAAAATAAATATATGTGTATGTTATGCACCATAATAAAATAAATCTTTCACCCAACTTTAGAAAAAGAAAATTGCCATCTCCTCCTTCAAGGATAACCATTAATCCTGGATTTTATCTTTATTGTTTTGTTTTTCTCAGTTTTTCCACATGGGTATTTTTTCTTAAACCTGATTAACTTACTATGTTTTTGAGCTCTGTAGAGATTTTGTCATACTCTGTATGAGCAGGGCACAGTGATACAACCATAGGTAATGTTAAATATCGAAATGTTTCTATACTGGTTGGTAGACAGTAATTCCAGAAAGTAGTTCATCATATAAGTTCTTATACATATGGTTTATCTCAGAAACCACATGTGACAGCCTGCGATGCATTCTTGCTTGAGCACTGAGGACAAAAGCTGAAGGGCTTAGCTACAGATTTGCTAGTATTTCAGGTTCGGCGATCTTCTTTGGTTTTGTAAGCCCTTGAGTTGAAGAGGGGCCTGGGTAACCAAACCCCTGTTCATCCTCCAAATAAATGCCTTATCCTGCTCTAGGGGATGCTGGAAGAGGGTGTGGGTAGACACAGGTGTCTGGGGACATCGCCCCTTGTGTAGTAATGGCCCTTTAGCTGCTTTTTAAAGTTTTGCTTTATTTGGCAACTTACTCTGTGGTCGAGGGTGGTGTGTCTTGTACATTGAAGAGATATGAGGAGAAGGATCCTACCAGGACTATTTAATACTCATCAGAGTGTGCTCTCCAGCAAGTGACGGCACCACCCCTGCTGTGTTCTCCACCCTCTTCCCCTGGCTGGTTTCCAGATGGGAGTATGGAAGTTGTCCGCCCCACCTCCACGAGTGTCCCTTTCCCCTCACTCACCGGGGCAGACCAAGCTGCTCGGACTTCAGTATTATTTGAGAAAAAATGAAGTCATTATATGGCAACCTGTCTTGAAAGGAAGATCTAAGGCTGAAGAATTTAATGCCAGCAAACGATGGTTTGATTATTTTAGAAAGAGGCTTGACTTTCAAAAACATCAGGGTAACAGAAGAAGAATCTTCTGCTGATGAACAGGGAGCAAAGTTCCCAGATGCCATTAAGAAAGTAATTAAGGAAAAAGACTATCTGCCTGAACAGGTTTTTAATGCAGATGAAAGTACCCTATTGTGGGGTGGGGGGGAGACACAAAGGGATTTTATTATTGGTAAGTAAGAGAAGCAAGCTCCAAGGTCTAAGGTAGGAAGGGATAGGCTAACACTACTGTTTTGTGCAAATGCAGTCCGGTTTATAATCAGAACTGCCCTTATCTATAAGCTGGGGACCTCTGAGCCTTGAAGGGAAAAGATAAACACCAGCTGCCAGTCTTTTGGTTGTAAACAATAAGACCTGAACAACGAGAACCTTTTTTCTGGATTGGTTCCATCAATAAATACTTTGTCCCTGAAGTCAGGAAGTACCTTCCCAATAAGGGACTGCCTTTTAAAGTTCTTTTGATACTTGGACAGTGCTCTTGAGTACCTAGAATTTTATGAATGCAGTGCCAAAGATGTCCAAGTGCTCTGCTTGGCCCCAAACAATGTCTTTATTCAGCTTCAAGATAGGGACTCATAAGGACCTTTAAGGTTCATTACCCATGGTACTCCAGAAAAGATTGTCAGCACTATGGAAGAGAACTGATAGAACATGAAAGTGGGAAGGATTACACCACTGAAGATGCCACCATAGTTCCAGAAAAAAGCTATGAAAGCCATTAAGCCTGGAACAAATCCTCGATGGAGAAAACTGTCCAGATGTGCAGGACTTCACAGGATTTATGACAGCCAATTAAGGAAATCATGAAAGATTGTGGGTATGGCAAAACAGTAACTAAAAAGGTGAGTGTGTGTGTCCGGAGGGTTTCAAGATGAGGATCTTGGGGAAATTCAAGAGCTAATACCACCACACTGGAGAAATGAACACAGGATGAGGGCTTCCCACCCAGTGCCCGATGTTGAGGGAGGAGATGGAAGAAGCAGTGCCAGGAAACAAATTGACATTAGACAATTGGGAAGAAGGGTTCTAATTATTCAAGACTGCTTTTGACTTCTCTGACGACATGGACCCTTCTATGATATAGACAAGCTAAAGCAAACAGAAAAAGGATTTGTACTGTATAGAAATATTTTCAGAGAAATGAAAAAGCAAAAAAATAAATGATTATATATTCCCATAAAGTTACACCGAGTGTGTCTGCCTCTCCCACCTCCTACCTCCTCCCACCTCCTGCATCTCTTCCTCCTCTGCACCCCCGAGACAGCAAGACCAGCCTCTTCCTCCTCATCCTACTCAGTGTGGAGACAATGAGGATGGAAACCCTTATGCTGAATGAATAGTAAATAATCACCATGCTGTACAGTCAATAAACATGTGTTTCATTTGTGTGTGTGTCTTCATGTAATAATCTAAAAACTACATGGCAAGAACTGATGAGATGTTTTGGTGTCAGATCGCTTAAGTATTCATTGTGTAGAACATCATGTGCAATACATTTATGAAAGTGGTAGCTTAACATGCATAAGGTGAGTAATATTTAATATAGAATTAATAATGTATTAGTTTTCTTCCTGTTTTATAAGTTTGCTTTCAAAGAATTAGGTTATGGTGTGCCTGACTCCTAGTTGGAGGTAGTGCCCATTAGCCTACCATCATGGGTGTTTTTGTTGTTTTTTTTTAAGGAAACAATTTTCAATACTGCATTATGAACATGACTGTAACACTGTATACCATAAAAGTTTTATAATGACTCATTCATTAGTGTATAGGCTAGGCTACCATGAAGCCCTCTTGTGAATTACAGTAGACTGCTATAAAGCAACTGTATTGCTGCTGCTTCCTTACTAGTGTGTGAATTGCTATACCTGTAAATAAATATGAGTTTCTTTTTCACATCTTTTCATTTCTTATTTCTAGTGTTAGTAGTAGTAAGTATACCATCTACAGTGTTTTTATCATATAAGACTATTGATGCGCATCTCATAAACATGATGTAAACTTAGTTATTGATTAATGCAGTACAGTACTGTGAATGTATTTTCTCGTGATTTTCATAACATTCTTTCTGTAGCTTATGTTATCAGTAAGGCTTCCAGTCAACAGCAGGTTATTAATAACTAACGAGGAGTCAAAAATTTACGTAAGTTTGTGACTGCACGGGAGCTATGTGCTCCTAACCTCCGTGTTGCTCAAGGGTCAGCTGTTCAAACAGTAAGGCCCCGCACATCCGTGTGAGTGTTTGTGGACACGAGAGTTTCTCTAAGATCCACCGAGGGGTGGAATTGCTGGGTTGTGGGTTACATTTCTATCCAGTTTTTAAAGATAATGCCGAATTCTCCAGCCAGAGTGATTGTGGCATTTTTGCACACCTACAGGTTGTGAATAAGGGCTACCTATGCTCCCGTGTTTCCTGGCCAACATTTAGGAGTGAGACTTCAGTTTCTGTCAATTTGGGAGATTTAAAATAGCATTTCAGTGTGGTCTTAATTTGCTTTTCCCTGATTATTGATGAAATTGAACATCTATTCATCTATACCTTTTGTGCTTTCTGTGAAAGGCCTGTTTATAACATTTGTCCTTTTTTATTCCTTTGGTTGGTTGTCTTTCCATATTCATGCATGGTTCTTTACGTATTAAGGATGCTAATTGTATTAGTTGTCTCTTGCTGTGTAACATAGCTGGCGACTCTGGCTTAGAGTTTCTCAGGAGATTACAGTCAAGATGTTGGCCAAAGTCACAGTCATCT